CACACACACACACACACACACACACTAACTTACACTTAAAATGAAAAGTAATCGTTTAGATAGTCAAATTAATCATTAGATTAATCAATATAAAGAGGCAGCCCTAACTCAGACACTCACTCACACACACACACACACACACACACACACACACACACACACACACACACACACACACGTGTGCTACTAGGTGAAAGTAAGCTGCCTCCAAACAAGCTGAAGCCTAAAGCGGCGCTCAGCATCTACAGCTCACATGACGCAGCAGCAGCTCTCATACAGAGACGTTCACACTGCTGTACTCAGATCAGTCACATGAGGAACACACACACACACACATCATGAAGAACACACACATATCATGAGCACAGCAGGAGGTCGAGGCTCCACCGGTGAGCTGGGTTCTGTTACCACATTATAATAGACAGCGAACATTTGAGATCTAGACAGTACACAGGTATAATGCTAATGATCAGTGGTCAGCACTGTGGCCTCACAACAAGAAGGTCGCTGGTTTGAGTCCTGACTGGGTTCTGTGTGGAGTTTGCATGTTCTCCCCGTGTTGGCTCCGGTTTCCCCCACAGTCCAAACACATGCGCTATAGGGGAACTGATCAACTACACTGGCCGTAGTGTATGAGTGTGTGTGTGTGTGTGTGTGTGTGTGTGTGTGTGTGTGTGAATGAGTGTGTATGGGTGTTTCCCAGTCCTGGGTTGCAGTTGGAAGGGCATCTGCTGTGGCGACCCTGATGAATAAAGCCACTAAGCTGAATGTTAGGGATCACTCTTTAAAGATGCTGGTTTTATTGTTCAGCTTATTTATACAATATTCATATATTTGTTATGTTATAGACTTTATGTCTAAAAAATGAAAAGCAAATAAAAGCATTAATTATATATAATATTTGCTCCTCCTTTAACATTTTTGCAGTAAATGTTCTACACATGCACGATTTAATCTGCACTAGAAGCACATTTAATAACTTTTGACAATAACAAACACTGGAAAATGTGTGTATAATATATTTATATGTAAACTGATTTTGTAAATAGTTATAATTATCAAACATTCATTTTATTTTCAGTTTAGTCCCTTATTTATCATGGGGTTGCCACAGCGGAATGAACCGTCAACTATTCCAGCACGTTTTACACACCGGATGCCCTTCTTGGTACAGGAAAACACCCACCCATACACACTCATTCACACACACACTCATTCACACACACACACACACACACACACATACACTCATACACTACGGCCAGTGTAGTTGATCAGTTCCTCTATAGCGCATGTGTTTGGACTGTGGGGGAAACCAGAGCACCCGGAGGAAACCCACACCAACACGGGAGAACATGCAAACTCCACACAGAAACACCAACTGACCCAGCCGAGACTCAAACCAGAGACCTTCTTGTGAGGCGACAGTGCTGACCACTGCAACACTGTATCACCCCTATTATAATAATCAGCTGCTTCTAATTATTTGGAGAATCATGGGAAATGTAGTTTTCCGCTGGGATCCACAGAACAGGATTTGTAAAGAAACTGGGATTAACAGATCTGTTCAGCTCTCTGTGATCAGCCGCAGCTCCAGGAGTTTAACATGCTGGAGTCAGCACAGCGTCAGTAAGGTGATGCAGATTCCCAACTAGTGTGTTTCTTTGTTCCACACTACCAGTAGAACAGTAAACGAGTTCAGAAACACAACTCACAAGCAGATTAATCCAGCCAATCAGAACGCAGCTTTCTAGACCAGTAACGTGTGCATTGCAGAATGAACTGCGGTTGATGCTAGAAGAGATACAGCTCTGGCTGGAAGTTAATGAGAAATATTCATATGATTTATTAAATTACACATTAATAGTATTTCATTAACATCCTAACCCTAAAGCCAACCCTCAGAGTAATGTAAAAACAGTAATTATACCCAAAATTATTCAGAATATTCATTAAATTACACAATCATAGTATTTAATTAACATCTACCCCCTATCCTCACCCTCACAGTAATGAAAAAACTAATTATACAGAGTATTATTCCTATTATTTATTATATTACACATTTTACCCCTACCCCGACCCTAAACCCAACCTCACAGTGCTGTAAAAGCTGTTATTACAGTGGTTCAGTCAGTGTCAGTGTTATTAATGAAGCTATATTGATGTAATTATCCGCAGCTGTATCCCTTCTAGACTTTACCATGAATCGGGATTTGTTCTGATCACGTGACGCAGAACTGAAGCTCATGAGTCACGTGACGTCATCAGAACCTTTATAACTGCCAGAACAGAAGAAATGAGAGGAAATTCAGGACGAGAGAGATGATGAACGAGTAAACACACACGCACACACACACACACACACACACACACACACACACACACACACACACACACACACACACACACACACACACACACACACACACTGAAGTATCAGTCGGTAAAGCAGCAGATGAAGCGCGGGAGAACAGTGTGTGTGCTGTTGTGGAGGTCAGACTGGTTGAGCTGTGTGTGTTACTGTAGTGTTGATCAGAGTGTAGTGAACTCCCTCACTCACTCACCCATCAGCAGAGTCCAGCAAACACCTGCAGCTCGCGCCATTCTCTCTCTGTGTCCGTCAGAAAGTCCCGCGCTAGACACTGCGTACCGAAGCCGTCACCGTGAGCTGCTCACCGCCGAGTCTGTCTGCAGTAAACACACTTAATAATGATTATGATGAGGATGATGGTGTTTCTTCAGCAGATTCTCTGTGTCATGAGGCGGAATGTTCCAGTCATGTGATGTTGGCGGTTTTGCTCCGCCCCCATCAGTCACGTGACGCGCTGCGCATTTATAAACACCCACATTCGGTGTTGTTTACCACTTTCAATATTAATATTTATTAATAAATAATAGAGTAGATAATGTGAGAACGAGTTTAATGTGTAATGATAATCGACTGAATAATAACAATAACCTAACTGGGTTTATTAACAGTATAATATCTGAATAATAACAGATCTCTCTTCTACATTCATATTTCCTACAGAATAATAAAACTGTGTATATACATTAAATTAGTGACTACCAGAGACAAAACTGGAACTAATCTAACAAAAACTGTAAAGTTCACACTCCTAATATCACTACACAAATTAATATATTGACAGAAATGTTAAATAAACGTTTAATAAATAGTAAAAATCAAAAGTATTACATTTGCATGTTTTTGCAATAACTCATTTGTATTTAAATGTATTTTCTTTCTATTCCGTGCCCAAAAAATGAATATAACTGTTTTATTCGTTTGTTTAAATGCACATATAGTCTACTGAGAAGTGGATAATAACCCTTTCACCAAATGACGTTTTTGATCCACTTCAAATGTTGTAGACTCCATTATATGAACATTATTAGGCACATATGAACATCCAAGCTTCAGAATACAGATCTGCAGTCTGGTGTGGAAGAGCTGCTGACGTGGAGAATGCATCTTATAAAGCTCATGTTGAGAGTGCAGACTGCTCGATTATGGGCTGTAATTGAAATATAATGGCATAAATTGATCGTGTGAGGCAGTGATAGTTTGATTAAGGTGTTTACATGCCTGTACTGGACTTTAATAATGCCGGACTCATCACCAACACAACACAGCAAATGCGGATGTTTTCTTTCATTCGGCGTCATTACAGAGTCGCAGGGAAATGAGGGAAATGTTGCTGAATGAAAGTGACGCTGCTGAACTGCAGTACAACTTGTCGAAAAATAAAAGATTCATTCATTTTCTTGTTGGCTTAGTCCTTTTATTAGTCTGGGGTCGCCACAGCAGAATGAACCACCAACTTATCCAGCAAGTTTTTTACGCAGCGGATGCCCTTCCAGCCGCAACCCATCTCTGGGAAACATCCACACACACACTCATACACTACGGACAATTTAGCCTACCCAATTCCCCTGTACCGCATATCTTTAGACTGTGGGGGAAAACCGGAGCACCCGGAGGAAACCAACGCGAAGGCAGGGAGAACATGCAAACTCCACACAGAAACACCAACTGAGCCGAGGCTCGAACCAGCGACCTTCTTGCTGTGAGGTGGCAGCACTACCTACTTCGCCACTGCTTCACCCAATTAAAGATTAAACACCTGAAATGACCTTAAACTCCGGAGGAGCCGTTGGATGGTGTGATGACGTCATGACCTTAATCGACCTGGACACGTTTTAAAAGCAGCCTCGAACCAGCGACCTTGTGAGGCCACAGTGCGACACCACTGAGCCACCGTGATCGCCCCGTATGGGTGTTTAATACTGATATGATACAGTAGAGCTGATAAAACAGCACTGACAGCCTCACATAAGAGGAACTACAGGACTGTTTGAGGAAGCGACTGAACCACAGCAACTTCATGGTTTGACCTTTGACCTGCGGAGTGCTGGTCATTCATAACTCTCAGCACATGATTATAACCAGATATTAAAGTTTGAGAACAAACCTCATGATGAAGTTTGAAATAGTATAGATGGATAAATAATGACTTATCCTATTAGCATGAATCAGCACGTTTTTAGCGTGCAGCTAGCATGAATTGGTATGTTATTAACATGTTTCTTGCATGCTATCGACTTGAATTGTTGTTGACCTGTTCCTGTATAAAATAGCATGATGCTACCATAATTTTAGCATGAATTAGCACGTTTCAAGTATGAACTGGCATTGTTGCTAGCACACATTGACATGCTTTCAACTTACAGCTAGCAGATATTCACGTGTATTAGCATGTTTCTAGCATGAAATATGTTGACAGCATGTTTTAGTATAAAATACCGATGCCAGCACAATTTTAACATAAATTAGCATATTTCTAAATGAACTGCATATTACTAACATGACTTAGAGCATGTTTTCAGCAGAATTAACATGTTTTAGCATGTTTATAGCATGATTAGCATGTTAACATAAATTATGTTGATCCCTGCTGAAAAATCCAGCTAAAACCAGCCCAGGCTGGTTGGCTGGTTTTAGCTGGTCGACCAGGCTGGTTTTAGAGGGGTTTTGGCCATTTCCATTGCCATTGGTTTACGCTGGACATAGCTGGTTTTAGCTTGGCTCCCAGCATGGCTAGGCTGGTTTTAGCTGGTCATCTCCCAGCCTGACGAGCTAAGACCAGACTGGAAATGGCCAAACCCCCTTTAAAACCAGCCTGCTTGACCAGCTAAAACCAGTCAACCAGCCTAGTTTAAGCTGTTTATTTCAGTATGGATAACCTGTTTCTTGTATGAACTAACATGTTGCTAGGATCTAGCGTACTATAAATTAGCATGCTGTTAGCACGACTTAGCATGTTTCTGGAAGGAACACAACAGAGATGATCGAGGAGCGATCGGTTCAGATTAAGTGTGTTTCCTGTGTTTCTCACTGAAGCTTTACTTGTAAAACACTCATTACCAGCCTGACCACACACACACACACACACACACACACACACACACACACACACACACACACACACACACACACACACACACACACACACACACTGTTCTGCTCTCGACGGCTGTAATTTGTTTGTCCAAGGAATTACTCTGTGAATGAGGCCTGAAATCACATTAGTGTCTGAGACTGGCTGAAGAGCAGACATTCAGGTCACACACACACACACACCAAACACACACACACACACACACACACACTGAACACTACAGTTCTAGTAGAGCGTGTGGCTCGGAATCACTGCAGTGTTCAGTACTTCTGCTTCTGCATGTCTTGTTGTTTGTATTCTATAATTGATCACTCCTTCCTTCATTATGGCCTGGGTGAGTTCATGAGTCTGAGTGCTCACACCATGAGGAATACGCACGCACGCACGCACGCAACATCTTAATTAAATATGATTTATTCTTCCACATCTCTGTCCACTTACAAAGAATAGAATCTTCTGCTCTACAAAACTGTATATGTGACAGAATACAGGTGATGAGACACACACACACACACACACACACACACACACACACACACACACACACACACACAC